GCCTCGGCCTCCCAAAGTGCTGGGATTACAGGCTTGAGCCACCGCGCCCGGCCTGACATACTGATTCTTTGAAGAGAAACTTAGAGCTCACTATATCTAACATCCCAAAGTGCTGGGATTACAGGTGTGAGCCACCGCACCCAGCCTACTGTCATCATTTTGCAAAGGCAGTTCCAATAATAAAGAATATTGTCTGGTCAACGATGGATGCACAGAGGCGGCCAGGGAAGGGTCAGCAGAGATGATGCCTGTATAAGTCTATCCTGGCCAGCATGGTGAAACCCCGTCTCTACTAAAATGCAAAAAATTAGCGTAGCGTATTGGTGCGTGCCTGTAGTCCCAGCTACTCAGGAGGCTGAGGCAGGGAAATCGCTTGAACTGGGAGGCAGAGGTTGCAGTGAGCCAAGATCGGGCCACTGCACTCCAGCCTGGCGACAGAGCAAGAAGAATTTTTTTTTTCTTTCATATGCAAGCCTACCTGAATGAGAAAGAATTTATGTTAAGCTATTGATTGGTTGAAAATTGTTCTTTGTATTACAAATCCCAGGAACAGGAAGATAATGGGTGAGGCTGCTAGTCAAAACTTAAATAGGATAAGTGCAGTGGCTCACGACTGTAATCCCAGCACTTTGGGAGGCCAAAGGGGGCGGATCACTTGAGCTCAGGAGTTCGAGACCAGCCTGGCCAACACGGAGAAACTCCATCTCTACTAAAAATACAAAATTAGCAGGTTGTGGTGGCACGCGCCTGTAATCCCAGCTACTTGGGAGGCTGAGGCAGGAGAATCGCCTGAACCCAGGAGTTGGATGTTGCAGTGAGCCAAGATCGCACCATCGCACTCCAGCTTGGGCGACACAGCGAGACTCTCTCATTCATAAATAAATAAATAAAAATAAAGCAACAGGGATTGGCAAAATCCAAAACCACGGGGACCTCTCAACCGCCTTTCTCCCTTAAGTACCCTGCCTTGCTACCGCCGCTGCCAGCCTGGGCGACAGAGCGACACGCTGTCATTCACAAATAAATAAAATAAAGCAAAAGAAGTTGGCAAAATCCAGAACCACGGGGACCTCTCAACCGCCTTTTCTCCCCTTAAGTATCTTCCCTTCCTACACGCCCCCGCTCCCGCCCCATCACCTCCTCTTCCGGTCCTTCCTCCAGGGCCCGCCCACCTCTTCCGGTTCCTCCTCCGCAACCCTCCATCTGCCCAGACCAGGGTCCGCCCGCCTCTTCCAATCCCCCAACGGCCTCTGCATCGCTTCCGGTTCCTAACTGAGGCCCCGCCCCTTCAGCTGTGCCTCCTCCCGCCATCCCTTTTGGCGGAAAATCCTCGACCCCCAAATTGGAGACGGATGCTTTTCCGCCTGTCTGCCCCCGGAGGTGACGTTAAGGCCCGCCCTCTGAGGAAGTGACGACAGGAGTGCCCTTGACAGGGAGGGCTGGGTTGTGCATCCCTCCGCTGGCGGTGCAGGGAGGTAGGAGCCCCGTGGGGGTGGCCCGAGGTGGCGTCAAGGCTGTGGCATGCCGCTAGCGCGTTGCTGCGCAGGCTGGCGCTGGGCGGGAGGAGGCCCCGGGCGGGGGAACCTGGCTTGCCGCAGAGCCGGGGTCTCTGGTAGGTCCGATTTTACCCGGTTCCCTCCACACATGTCCCTTCTTGATTGGTTCTCTCCAGTACATGTCTGTTCGTTTTTGGTTCCTCTCACACTCCTAGTTCCTCCTTGAATTATTACGTGTCATCTTTCCCGATCCTTTTATCCTCCTAATCTCCCACTAAAACACGTTTTCAAAGAGCAATAATGGAGTGAGGACTTGGCAGACGACCCTAGGTTCCAATGTTGGCTGTCACTTAATAGCGGGGGTACTTTGGACGTGTCACTTAACTTGCTTGAGCCTCGGATTCCTTTCCTTATTTGCGATATGGGCAATACAATAGCAACTTCCTCAAAGTTGCTGTAGGAAGACCAATAATGTATGTAAGGCACTTGGCCCTTAGCAGGTGCACCATAAATATTGGTTTATTCCTCTCATTCTTCTGTTATAATCTCAATCCTGATTTCTTCTTGGTTGTGAAGCCAGTTTTCTTATCCTTCTGGTTTGCCTCGCTATTCCTTCCCTTTGATTCTCATTGCTTCGTCACTTCTACACTACAAATCTTATATATTATTTCCTTGCATTTTGCTTCCAACTCTGCCTCTTCTTGAACCCCAAGTACTCCCCAAATCCCTTTCTTTTTCTAGTGTGTTGCCTTCCTTTTTGTGTACCCTAGTTCTTCCACCTCTTTCCCTCACAGATGGCTCAGCGACTTCTCCTGAGGAGGTTCCTGGTGTCGGTCATCTCCAGGAAGCCCTCTCAGGGTTGGTGGCCACCCCTCACCTCCAGAGCCCTGCAGACCCCTGGTGGCCTGACTGTAACACCCAACCCAGCCCGGACAATATACACTACCAGGATCTCCTTGACAACCTTTAATATCCAGGATGGCCCCGACTTTCAAGACCGAGTGGTCAACAGTGAGACGCCAGTGGTTGTGGATTTCCATGCACAGTGAGTACTGGGGGTCCATGGAAGACTAGGGTCCTACATGTTCAACTGTTTATTGAACACCTGCTATGTCCCAGGACCATATTTGATGCTGCTCATATGTAGACTCATTACAAAGACTGGTCAGACCCAGTCCCTGCTGTCAAGGGGAGTGCAGTCTGGTAGAAGACAGATGAGTGAACAGCCTGCAAAGCTGACTGTGGTTAGTGCTGGGAAACACATATTGTGTTCTCACTGCCCAGAAAGCTCAGCGTCATCTTCTGCATGGACCAGAGTTGGAAAAATACAACTGTAGTGTCACCTTGCTTTTGGTGTATACCAGTTCCTGGCCCTGCAGATAAGTTGATTTTAACATTTTGCCACGAAAACTGTGGGAAGGGCTGGCAAAAAGTTATCAGTGTTGGCCTGGCATGGTGGCTCATGCCTGTAATCCCAGCATTTTGGTAGGCTGAGATAGGTGGATCATTTGAGATCAGGTGTTTGAGACCAATCTGATAACCAAACCCTGTCTACTAAAAATAGAAATGTAGCCAGGGGTGGTGGCATGCGCCTGTAATCCCAGCTACTTGGGAGGCTGAGGCAGGAGAATCACTTGAACCCAGGAGGCAGAGGTTGCAGTGAGCTGAGATCATGCCATTGCACTCCAGCCTGGGCAAAAAGAGCGAAACTCTGTCTCAAAAAAAAAACAACAAAAAACATCAGTGTCACTGCTGTGGTGCCCAAGCATACAGGGCATAGGAAGGAGTTTCCTTTCAGTGCTGAGTTTGTTTTAGAGAGAAATATTTAAGTCCCTCTGCCCTTCTGATTTTTAGCCTGGCTTTTTTCATTTCTAGACCTTTGGGGCCTGGCTAGACACCTAACTACGCAAAAGCTGGACAAAGCCCTCTGAATGAGGCATCCTGGGAGGAACCAGTGAAGCATAAGTTACAAAATCAGGGGCCTTCAGGTCGGTTGCAGTAATCCCAGCACTTTGGGAGGCCAAGGCAGGCGGATCACCTGAGGTCAGGAGTTCGAGACCTGCCTAGCCAACATGGTGAAACCCTGTCTCTACTAAAAATACAAACATTAGCCAGGCGTGGTGGCAGGTGCCTGTAATCCCAGCTACCCGGGAGGCTGAGGCAGGAGAATCGCTTGAACCCAGGAAGTGGAGGTTGCAGTGAGCCGAGATCACGCTGTTGCACTCTAGCCTGTCAAAAAAGTGAAACTTGATCTCAGGGAAAAAAAAAAAAAGATATTAAAGGGCCTTCTGGGCAGGTATCTGACAGATTCTTTTGCCGTCTTTCCAGTTCTTTCTCTGACTCACCCTGTGGCCTTGGGCAGGCCACTTGATATTCTCGTGTACCCTTTCTTCACTTGTAATAGGAGTTAAGGTCTTGCACAAAGGGTTTTTAGGTGTTATGAGTTGTTTTTATTTATTTATTTATTTTTTGAGACAAGGTCTCACTTTGTCACCCTGGCTAGGGTATAGAGTGCAGTGATACAATCAAGGCTTACTGCAGTCTCTACCTCTTGATCTCAAGCAGTCCTCCCATCTTGGCCTCCCAAAGTGCTGGAATTACAGGGATGAACCACTGCACCAGGCCTGAGGGTTTTTTGTTTTTTTTTTTCTTTTTTCTTTTGAGACAGGGTCTTACTCTGCTGCCCAGGCTGGAGTGCAGTGGCACGATCAGCTCACTGCAACCTCTGCCTCCTGGGCTCAAGCGATTCTCCTGCCTCCGCCTCTCAAGTAGTTGGGACTACAGAAGCCCGTCACCACACCCGGCTAATTTTTTTGTATTTTTAGTAAAGATGGGGTTTTGCCATATTGGCCAGGCTGGTCTCCTGACCTCAGGTGATCCACCCGCCTCAGCCTCCCAGAGTGCTGGGATTACAGATGTAAGCCACTACACCTGGTCTGTTCTCTGCATTTAAAACCGTTAGGCCTGGCTGGGAGCACCGTGTACCACCACACCTGGCTGCCCAAAAGGCTGAAGCTGGAGAATCGCTGGAACCCAGGAGGCGGAGGTTACAGTAAGCCGAGATCACGCCATTGCACTCCAGCCTGGGCAATAGAGTGAGACTCCATCTCAAAAATAAATAAATTCTGAGAATGAAATATGAGTTGTCAGCAGGGGTTTGTGAAAGGTGGAACTATTTTGCCTTCCTGGTATAGTGAGCAGTCCAGAGAGGGCTTCCAGAATGAACAATAAATGGAGTAATGCCTCATTCTGTTCAGTAAGGAAGTGGAGTGTGAGTTGTTCATTCAGTGCCAGGCGCTTTCCTTGGTGCCACATACATAGAGGTGACAGCACCAGGCCTGTCCTGGATGAGCTCGCCAGCGAGACGGGAATACCTGTGATTAGGGCAGTGATCAGGTCAACTCGGGCTGTGGGATCGCAGAGTAGCCTGGGGGTGAAAGAAAACACTTTCTTTTTTCTTTTTTGTTTTGTTTTGCTTTGTTCTTTGTTGTTGTTGTTTTTTGAGATAGAGTCTTGCTCTGTCGCCAGGTGCCGGGCTGGAGTGCAGTGGCACAAGCTCGGCTCACTGCAACCTCTGACTCCCGGGTTCAAGCAATGCTCCTGCCTCAGTCTCCCAAGTAGCTGGGACTACAGGCACACGCCACCATGCCCAGCTAATTTTTGCATTTTTTAGTAGAAACGGGGTTTCACCATGTTGGCCAGGATGATCTCGATCTCTTGACCTCGTGATCTGCTCACCTCGGCCTCCCAAAGTGCTGGGACTACAGGTGTGAGCCACCGCACCCGACCTGCTTTGTTTTTTGAGACGGAATCTTGCTGTGTCGCCCAGGCTGGAGTGCAGTGGCATGATCTCAGCTCACTTAAACCTCTGCCTCCTGGGTTCAAGCAATTCTGCCTCAGCCTCCCTAGTAGCTGGGATTATAGTTGCACACCACCACACCCAGCTAATTTTTGTATTTTTAGTAGAGACGGGTTTCACCATGTTGGCCAGTTTGGTCTCAAACTCCTGACTTCAAGTGATCCACCCACCTCAGCCTCCCAAAATGCTGGGATTACAGGCATGAGCCGCTGCGCCCAGCCTGGTGTGTTCATTTTTAAACATGGTAAACAGAGACAATAAAGGCAGAAGATTCCTTGGAAAGATGCAGGTCTGGGGAGCCAGTAGGGGATGCTGAGTGCTCTTGTGACTGACGGGATGCTTCCTTTCTCGCCTTTGGAGGTGGTGTGGACCCTGCAAGATCCTGGGGCCGAGGTTAGAGAAGATGGTGGCCAAGCAGCACGGGAAGGTGGTGATGGCCAAGGTGGACATTGATGACCACACCGACCTTGCCATTGAGTATGAGGTATGGATTGGCAGGGGGTTGCCACAGGCCAGCCAGTGTAGGGTGCGTCAGGCCCAGGGGTAGCTGGTGTAGGAGATGTCTTGGGGAACACCAGGGAGCCGATAAGCAGGGTGTCTTGGTTTTTCCAGAGCTTTTAGGAGCTCAGAGCGCTTTGCAGAGGTGACCGTTGATCCTCTGGGCCACCTGTCTCTCATCACCACTTTTAGGAAGTAGATTATATGACCCAAAAACTCGAGATCATTCTCTTACTGTTGGACTTTGATACATTCCTTTATTCATCCACCCGCCTGTTCAGCGTGCAGTCATTTGGGAGCTCGGTGCACCAAGCATTTGTGATTGTGACACAAATAAGATGAGATCTTGTCTCTAAGCAGCTCGTGGTCTAGCAGGAGAGAACAGCAGGTAGAAGGACCATCTCAGCATAGGGTGAGAAGTGCTAAAAGAGGTGCATGAAGGAAGAAGGGACTGATTGCTCGCGGGGGAGCTGGGCAGGCAAGGCTTCACGTTAGAGAGAAGCTCTGAGCTGAGCCGTGAAGGATGCGCAGGGAAGAAGGAAGGGTCATCTCACATGGTTGCTGTGTTTGTCCATTTATTCAGCAGATAGTTGAGAGTCCCTCAAGCGCCAGGTACTGTTACTTGGTGCCGAGGATAAGCAGTGAACAAAACTGACAAAATCTCTGCCTTCATGGAGTCTACGTTCTAGTATTTTAAATCAGGGGTCAGCAAACTCTGCCTCTAAAGGACCAGTTGGTATTTGAGGCTTTGCAGGGGTAATGGTGTCTGCTGCAACCGTTTAGCTGTCCTAGCAGCTGAAAGCAACCATAGACACTATACAAACAAATGAACGTGGCTATGTTCCAATAAAACTTTATTTACAAAAACAAGCAGTAGGCTGTATTGGGCCCGTGAACTATAGTTCGCTGACCACCGTTTTAGATAATAAGTTCAATGGAGAAAAATAACATCGGGAAAAGGGGACGGGAGTACTGAGTACGGGCAGAGTTTCTTTTTTAAAGGGTGAGCTAGGGTAGATCTCCCTTTGAGCAAAAACAGGAAGGGAGTGAAGCATGTGGGTTTTTGGAAGTACTATTCAGGCAAAGCAAAAGCCCTGAGGTCTGATGAGCCTGGATTGCTTACAGACCAGCAGGGGCCAGATGCCTGGAGGTGTGTGGGGTAGGGGCACCCTTTGGGCCTTGGAGGCTACTGCACTGGAGAAAAGGGAGAGGTCTACTTTGTCTGGGTGGCCAGAGTGAAGGGCCGAGCACGGAGCTGGGGAAAGCAGACTACAGCCAGATTGGGAGGGGTCTCTGGATAGCCATGCTGAGGGTGGCACTGTTACAGAGCTAAGGTCGCACCTGGCAGCCCGTGGGCCCAGTCTGGCTCACAGACACTTTTACTTTGGCACTCAAAGTATTTTAAAGTAATAGGAACCAGATGCTGATATTTGAAATTCATATTTCATGTGAAAATCTAGATTTCTGGTTTTCTTGAAATACCTTTTTGTTTTTGTTTTGTTTTGTTTTGAGACTCTCTCTGTCGCCCAGGCTGGAGTGTAGTGGCGAGATCTTGGCTCACTGCAGCCTCCACCTCCCAGGTTCAAGCAATTCTCCTGCCTCAGCTTCCCGAGTAGCTGGGATTACAGGCGCCCACCACCACACCCAGCTAATTTTTTGTATTTTTAGTAGAGACGGGGTTTCACCATGTTGACCAGGATGGTCTCGATCTCTTGACCTTGTGATCCACCCGCCTCGGCCTCCCAAAGTGCTGGGATTACAGGCTTGAGCCACCGCGCCCGGCCAATTTTTGTATTTTTAGTAGAGATGGGGTTTCACCATGTTGGCCAGGCTGGTCTTGAACTCCTGACCTCAGATGATCCACCTGCCTCAGCCTCCCAAAGTGCTGGGATTATAGGCGTGACCCACCGTGCCTGGCCTTGTTTGTCTGTTTTGAGATAGTATTACCCACCCTGGAGTGCCATGGCACAATCTCAGCTCATTGCAACCTCTGCCTCCTGGGTTCAAGCCATTCTCCTGCCCCAGCCTCCTGAGTAGCTGGGACTACAGGCATGCGCCACCATGACCTGCTAATTTTTGTATTTTTAGTAGAGACGTGGTTTCACTATGTTGGCCAGACTGGTCTCGAACTCCTGACCTTAGATGATCTGCCTTCCTAGTCTTCCCAAAGTGCTGAGATTACGGGCATGAGCCGCCACACCCAGCATACACCACATCATTTTGCAATAGTTGCTCAGCCTTTGAGTCTCAGAATTCTCATCGTTAAAATGACCCTGCCCACAACCTGGAGTGTGTGAGATAGCATATGCAGGTGTTTATATCATACCCGACACAAAAAAGCAGTACGTGACAGTGATCTTTTCCTTTTAACCCTGTAATGAGCCGAGGAGGAGGCTGCAGTGTCCCGCAGCACCCAGCACTGTGCCTTTCCCTTGGCAGGTCCTTAGCTGAGTTAACAGATGGATGCGATCGGGGTGAGACAGAAGACATGCCAGGACATCGAGCTCAGTGGCAGTGCAGGCGGGCTATGGGTTAGTGGAAAGAGACAGCACACACATACACACTCCTGCCCTGAGTGTAGAGGGTCTTTATCCAAGGATAGGAGGTTCTGGCCGGGTGCGGTGGCTCATGCCTCTAATCCCAGCACTTTGGGAGGCCGAGGTGAGCAGATCACCTGAGGTCAGTGTTCAAGACCAGGCCTGACTAACATGGAGAAAACTTATCTCTACTAAAAATACAGAATTAGCCAGGCATGGTGGTGCGTGCCTGTAATCCCAGCTACTTGGGAGGCTGAGGCGTGAGAATTGCTTGAACCCCGGAGGCAGAGGTTGCGGTGAGCCAAGATTGTGTCATTGCAATCCAGCCTCAGCAACAAGAGCGAAACTCCATCTCAGGAAAAAAAAAAAGAAAAACAGGCAACACAGCTTAGTGGCTCTTTTCCTCAGCTCTTCATTTGGCTCAGTCACTGCCTCTTTCACACTCAAAACATTCCAGAAGAGTGTGCCACGGCCCTGTGCACTTCCACGTAAGGCAGTGTTTACAGGCACTGGCCCCTCCTGATATGTGAGCCAAACACAGGAGCAGCAGAACCTCGGCCACCTCCTCGGGGGAGAGGGAAGTCCCATTCCAGCCCAGGTTTCCTGTGAGCCCCTAGCATGGGTGTGTGTGTGCGCACGTGCACATGTGTGCATACGCGTGTGTGTTTAAGCTCAACTTAAAAAAATCCCTTGATCAGTAATGACTACACCTCCATTCACGTCTATACAGCACGTCTGCTGTATACCTGATAGCCAGCAAGGTCTGTGCGTGTTCAGGCATGTGTGGAGGTTTACATGAGTGGGATCATTATGACCTTCATCTGG